TAGTGAACTATAAAGTATAAAGAAAAAAAATAAATACATATTAGTTAAATAGATTATTAAATTAATACAAGACATTAAGGTGTGTATGACATTTTTATGAATTTCTATCTGAACCTTCACTATATTACATCCTCATTTAACAATTCGTAATAATATGAAAAATAATTTTTACATACTTCATCATAAGTAAAATTTTGATTTAAAATTCAGGATCTTGTTTACGATTTTTATGTTTTGGCTTAAATTGAACAACGATACGCACAGCTAATCGCTCATAGAATGTAGGAATATCACAAATACGACATGCAGCAATATGTTTGTTTACTCTAAATTGAAACAGAAGCTTTCTTATAACGAAATGAATTGAGACACAAGACAAGACAAGGTTAATATAAATAACTTACTCTTGTTCTGTTAAAGCTTTTTGGAAGCAAATTATATCACCATCTTGTATCTCAGATTGTTGAAAAGTTAACTCGGGTTTCATCTCTTTAATCATGTGTGGTTTTATTTCCTGTATTTTAAGAAAATAAATTTATCATTACTATCCACAAAACAACTGTATGTGAAAATAATCTTACTTCATATATATTCAAGGGAGTGTGTGGTGGAAATTTCTTCTTCTCGCAAAGAATTTTTAAAATGTCACCAACTTTACCAAATTTTCTAACGTATAGATGACACACTCCTCTGTTTAAATAAGTATAAGAGATTAATCTCATATTAAATGAATTAATAAAATAAAGTTCAAATCACATACTCTAGAGATTGTGCATTGGGATTAAAGTATTTAATGAAAATTGGTATAGGAGGATTTTCTTTCATTGTCGGGAACCATGCCTACGTATCAAATAAATAACAGTTGAAATGGTAAAAAGATGCTTGTTTGATCATAAATATACAAAGGTTATTGAATAACAGGTACTACTTTAGTCCTAGCTATAGGTCCCTACAATAACGTAATGCATAATTATTTAATAAAGACCGAGGCCAGGCCTCATTCTTAAAAAAAAAAAAAAAAAACAGGTAATACTTTATCTGTCACCTCTAAAAACAATTTCAGCTCATTACTTCTCGGTGACATTTTCGTGTGAATTTCTTCCATTGCTATTCATCAAAAGTTATAAAAAATATAAAAAACCTATTACGAATGAAAAGAGAAAAGAACTATATTTT